CCCCCCCCGCAAGGGACCGTCCCCAGGGTGCTGGGCTTGGGGTGCCCCATGCTGCAGAGGCAGGATGCCCCAGGGCATTTGGAGGGACTGGAGGTGGCTCATGGGGGTTGTTGGGGTGCCCCTCCGCTGGGATTTGGGGTTGCCCCATCAAGGAGGCGGGGTTTGGGACTCAGGGTGCCCATAGGGATGTGGCTGCAGGGCAAGGTTTTGGGATGCCCGTGGGGGGGCCAGGGTCCCTATGGGTGGCCAGGGCCAGGTTTCTGGGTGCCCGCAGGTGTATGGGACTGGGTTTGGGGGCGCGGGGCCGGTGCCCCCCCCCGCACCCGCTGTGACGCCGCTCCCTCCACAGGCCCCGAGGGCTGTAACATCTTCATCTACCACCTGCCCCAGGAGTTCGCCGACACCGAGATCCTGCAGATGTTCCTGCCCTTCGGCAACGTCATCTCTGCCAAGGTCTTCGTGGACCGCGCCACCAACCAGAGCAAGTGCTTCGGTAGGGCCACCGCCGCCTGGGGACACTGGGGATGGGGACACCATGGCCGGGGCATGCGGACGCCCCAGCCAGGTGCTGTGGGGTCACCTTGCCCCATGGCAGAGCCCCCCCAGGGCTGTGGAACAGAGGCAGGGGAGGGTTGTGGCCACCCCTGTCCCCATGCCTGATGTCCCCGCTGTCCCCACAGGCTTCGTGAGCTTTGACAACCCGGCCAGTGCCCAAGCGGCCATCCAGGCCATGAACGGCTTCCAGATCGGGATGAAGCGCCTCAAGGTGCAGCTCAAGAGGCCCAAAGACGCCAACCGGCCGTACTGAGCCTGGTGAGCCCCTCCCACCACCCCCTGGGACCCCCTGCTGGGCATCCCTTGGCTGGGAGCCCCACCTGCCCCCCCCCCAGCTCTGCTTAATGCCCCCCATCTTCCTCCCACCCCAGGTCCGGAGGCTCTGGAGCAGCACCCATGGGTGCCTCCCTGTTGCAGAGCAGCCCCCCCCCCCAGCGGTGCCCACAGGGGGCTTGGTCCTGCTGGGGGGGGGGACACACAGACCCCCACATGCTCAGGAAGGATGGACCCCCCCTCCAGGACCGATCTGGACCTCCACCATCCATCCCAGTCCAGGCAGGGCTGGGTGGGCCCTGGGTGCCAGCACCCCCCCAGCATCTGGGTCCAGTCTGCCCTGGGGGGGGCACACCCCCCCAAAGACCCCCCACTCCCCACAGGGACCTGCCCCCCACAGGGGGACCCTGGTTGGAGCTTTTTTCTCACCATACAGGACCAAAACCAGCTCCAAGCCAGGAAGGGGGGGGATCCCTGCTGCGGGGGGGGATGTGTGTGGGGGGACACATGCCCACGGTTGGGGGTACCGGCCCCGGCACCGCCACCCCTCCCAGGTCCCCTGGGTGGCCGTGCCAGGGTGCAGCGGGACCCCCTCCCCGACACACACTGCCACCCCGCTTTGCCCCCACCCCCCCCAACCTGCCTCAGTTTCCCCCCCTCCTTTGCCCATGAGCGCCGGTGGCTGCACTGGCACCAGGTGGGGGGGATGCAGCCCCACGGCACGGCCATGGCCAGGGCGCGCCAGATGCTGTGTGGGCATGCAGCAGCTGAGATTGGGATGCTCCAACACCGGGATCTTCCACCATGGTGATGCACCTGGTGCTGCATGTGGCCAGCATGGCTGAGCCAACGACGTGCCGGGTGCTGGATGGACATGCAGCGGCCAGAGCCAGGACCTGCCAGGCACAAACCAGCCAAATCTGGGAGACAGGCACAGCCGGCATCAGGGCACTGGGAGCCACAGGGACCCGGAGCAGCTGAAGCAGGGACGTGCTGCTGGCAGTGGACAGACATGGGATGTGCCAGTGGACACGAGGCCTCCGGCTCTGCCCGGAACCGCCACAGCGGCCAAAACTGGGGTGTGCCGGGCACCCACCAGCCAAAACGGTGCTGAGTCCAGCACTGTCCAGCCCCGCAGCCTCCCCGCCCCCAGGGACGGTGTCCCTGGCATCCCCTCAAATGGGGACGGTGCCCCCCGGCCTCCCCCAGCTCCACGTTTACACCCGCCGCTCCCTGCTGTAAATAAGGTTTGGGGGGCGCGGGGGCCGGGGCGCTCTCTCTTTCCCCCCCTTTTGGGGGGTTTGGTACCTGCTGAGTTGATTTAGGGGGTGGGACGGGGTGGGGGGCACGGGGCCATTAGCGGGGGGGGACACACGCAGACCCCCGGGAGTTGACGTCTGCGGTTGAGATGCCGCTGCTTAACTTATTTGCTATTTATTGCAGTTACTTTGGATAATTTAATTTTTTTTTCTCTTTTTTTTTCCTCCTCTTTTTTTTTTTTCTGTCTAAATAAAATAAGTTAAAAAAAAAAAAGGCTTAAAGGAGATTTTAAAGCATCCCCAACCCCCCCCCTCAGGGGTGCTGGGGGTGGGGGGGGAGGTGGGACGGAGCAGAGCAGGATCAACCCCAGCGCCCATGGGGAAGAAACACGGCCATGGTTCCCAGTAGTTTCATCAATAAATCAATTTATTTAAAAGAATATGTTACAATTAATTACACTAAGTGACTTTACCAAACAACCAGCATGGTTAGAGACCGAGGAATGAAACACCAGGAGCAGCTGGGGGAGGGAAAGGGGGAGGGGGGGGCTTTTTTTTTTTTTCTTCTTTTTTGTTGTTTTCTTCACATTTCTGACTGACAAATAAAAAATACAAGATACTGCAGTGAAAAGACAATTAGAGTTCTCTCAAATAAATTAAAGAGGATGTGGATGGTAGCGAAATCGGGGCGGGGATGACGACGACATTTCACCGGCTCCAACTCGAACAGGGTCACGGGCGCGATTATTGCTGAGACCTGCCCCTTTCATGCCACTGATGAGCCCTGGCACTGGAGGGGGTGGTGGTGGTGGTCCCCCGCATCTCTCCCAACCCCCACCCGGGGCCTCCGGCAGCACAGGGCTCCCGAGGACAACGGCCCCGGGGCAGGTGAGAGACACGGCCGAGCTCAAATCCAATTACTCGGGCGCTGGGCTAATTAATTCCCTGCTCACGGCCTTTGCTCTCTCCCAGCGCCCCGGCTGCCTGAGGAACCAGGAGGATCCCCCGCACCGAGCTGGAATTTAACCCAAAAAACCACGTGGAGGCTGGGAATACCGGCAGCCCAGTGATGGGGCAGGGGTGGGATTGCGTTCCCATCCGCCCCATGCTGGGGTTTTAAATCCATTTTTTCCTTAATTGCCCCAGGCCACCCTGAAGAGAGAGCGGAGCTGGGGTCACAGCATCTAAAGGCTCCCACCAGGAACACACCGAGCCTGGCTGCACCCCAGCGTTTGTCCTCACCCCATGCCTTCTCCCGACCTGGTGAGAGGCAGATAAACCCCTTCCCAAAACACGGGCAGAAAGGGGAAATCACTACACTAAGCAAGCGCACAGCATTTTCTGCTTGGCATCGCCTCCCTCCCACACCCACGGTGCCTGGGGGGCTGTGAGCATTGCCAAGATGTTCACCCATGCTTGCCCAAGCTCACTTGTGTTCTACATTAGTATTTTGTTCCTCATGGCAGGGGGAAGCAGCAGGACCAGCATCTCCCAAATATCACAAAAGCCACCCCAAACCCAGGGCTGCCTGGGGGAGTGATACAGAAACCAGCCCCAAACCTGCTCAGAGGCAGGAAAAGCAGCTTTTCTACCTTATTTCTCCTCCTCAGCACTGCTCGGCCACCTGAGCCACAGGCAGATCACTCACCATCATGGCTGAAGCCGGCTGGTTTTTGGAAGCACTCTCCGATCTCTCCCAAAAAGCCCAAGGGTCTTGAACCACCGCCCAGATCTGCCAGCCCACGAGGGGAGCAAGGGGAGCAGGCAGCATCCCCCACTCCCCACTTCAGGGTGCCAGGGCGAGGGGACTGATCCTGGAACCCACAAGATCCTACATCCTGGCCACGCCACTAGGCTCCCCTCGCTCCCAGAGCCGGACATCCCCCACGGTCACTCAAAGTCTGCATGAAAATACCCAGAACCAAACCAAAACACAGGAAAAAAAAATAAAGTCAAGAGCTTGTAAACGTGTCAAGGTCCTTGTGCCAGGAGAGGTATTTCCCTGTAACGTTGCTTCTCTGTTATTTTTGTTTTGTTTTGTTTTTTCCTTTTTTTTTTTTCCTTTTTTTCCTCTAAAGTTAGTTTTTAAAAAAACACAATGGGTTGGGAAGAGAAATGTGTGTAAAAATGCAAGCTTAAAAAAGGTACTGCCACCAATATGAAATTTTAAAAGAAATATATATATGTATATACGTGCACAATATTTGTATATATAGCTTTTTAGGGGTGGTTGGTTGGTTTGGGTTTTTTTTGTTTTTTTTTTTTTTTACATACATACATATATATGCCTGAACAGTGCAAATGGATGACATTTCTAGTTCCAGTTGTAAAAAATAAAAGCACAGTCCATCTTCTGGAACAGGACCCAAGTGGAAGGAAGAGACAGAACACCCTCGGGCGATTCCTCTGCCATCCAACACTTTTTCCCCTCTTTTCTCAGCCGAGCCTGTCATTTATCCTAGTTGCTTAATTCCATAAACATGAAGTTCACAAATGGTATTATTATTAATAATATTTAGTTTAAGGGCTTTAATACAATAACAGAATTTTAAGTGTTAATTGGGGGGGGGGGTGTTTACGTTCTTCCATGACGAGGGGCTAAGTGGCTGCATCCCTCTGCTGTGACCTGACCATCTGAAAGATATTCTGAAAGAGAAGAAAAAGGACATTAAAAGTGCGATGTCACTCAGGAAGAGCTGGGTTCGACTCTCCGGCCAAGCTACACTGCAGCCCTATGAGCACAGACGGGACCAGGGGGTGACCCGTGGGGTTTGCCTGTCCCCCAGCCTAAGCATGAGAGCCTGGGGACAGCCAGAACTGCTCCTGGTCCCAACACCGACACCACACAAAGCAAGGGACTCCCTGCAGGGCAAACGTCCTCCCAGCAAACCCCTGCAGATCCCCCCAGCCCCTCACCACCCCGACGGCCCTCAACCCTACTGGCAACGATCCAACCAGCCGGCTCAGGGAGCAGGCAGGGCAAGAAACCAAGGGGCTTGCAGTCAAACTACATCCTACATCTCCAAGAGTTCCCCCCGAGGCAATACTCCTGGAGCAAGGAGCCCTCCCAGCGCCAATGCACATCGCATCCCAGCTCAGGTCGCCCCGGGCTCTAACGCCCTACTGCCACATCCCAGCTTGCTGCGAGCTCCTGGCCTATAACCAGGATGGCAGGAGAGGAGAGGATCTACCCTGCACACACAGCTGTAAGGCTTCCCTGTGCTAAGGGCTCCCAGGGAGCAGATGCCTTCGCTCAACCGGGTGGCAAGAGCTGGGGAAAGCCAGGTCTTACAGGAGCAGACAGGATTTAAGCACCTGTTCCTATATGGGGATTTGCCGTGGCCCTGATGGAGCAGCAGGTTTTGGGAAGGGCAGCTCAGGGGAGCCACCCACCAGATCAAGCTGAGCTGGCATGATTTTGCCATCCTCCTTCTCTGGGCCAACTCTGGGAGAAGATCCCACCTGCATGCTCCTGTGTCCTTGGTGTGGGACCCCTTCCCCACTGCCAGCTTCAGGGCTGCTGAAGTACCCCTGGCCCAGGCAGACATCCCCACCGTCAGCCCTGCTTCCATCCCCCTGCAGGGTCATGTTGGTGTTACCCTTCAGTATTTCAGCACTGAGCAGCCCCACGATGATTCAACCATCCTGCTCTGCCCACCTCTGCATCACACCGGGGTGCTGGACACCCTCCCGGCTGTCCCACGGCATCCTCTGGCTTTCCAGCAACACCTTCATCCAGCCAGGACCAGAGTGGTCCCAGTGGCTGCCAGGATGCACCATGCATGAGGATGCCAGTCGCGTTCAGGGGGAGACCCCGAGCCAAGGGTAGCTCAGGGATAAGGATGAGCCTAGGGTTCAGACACACCAGGGACCTCCTGCTTGGCGTTTGCTGATCTGGAGAGCCATGGCACTTGCTGGAAGCCCTTGATCCGGCATATCCCAGCTCCTCTCTGGCACTAATGAATCCTCCCCGTGCACACGGGACCACGACAGCCAGAGGAGAAGGCAAATAATGCCCTGAAGGAAAGTGGCTCAGCCCAATGGCTGAAGCTCGAGCAGGAGATTAAAGGAGGGCAGGAAGGAGGTCAGGAGGAGCCCTGGGAATTGGACAGATCCCCCCCATGAAGTCCCGTTCTCTCCCAGCTCCACAAGCATCCCTCCCTCTAGAAAAGGGCCAGAGTCTGCAAATAACCCAGATTACGCTTGCAAGAGCTAAACCAAGCTGAGTGGCAGCTCAGCTCTCCCAAAAGGAGGACAGAGCCATTTCCTCGTGTCCCCCCTACCCCAGCTTGGTCACAGGGGTCACCGGTGACTGCCCTCCAACCCATGGCATGGTCTCTCTCCCACAACTTCATCTATAAGGTCTGAGCCACCCCAATGTCCCCAAACAGAGCTTGTCACCTGCAGCAAGCCAGCCTCATCCTCCAAGGAGCCATGCACAGCTCAGCCTCCCTCCTGAGAAGGGACACAACAGGGCCACCATATCCCTCCCCTCAGCACCCAGCATGAGCAGCAGGGACCACAAGGGTCCGACAAAGAGCTGGGCTTTTACTTCTCATCAAGACGGCAGAGCAGCAAAGCCTCAAACCTGCTTTTCCTGAGCACAGCCAGCATTATTGGCCAGCATCTGCAGTTTGGGAGGCAAGTCAGCAGTTTACAGAGCACTAAATATATCTGTAAAGTATCTGCCAAATTCCACCAATCTTTTTATTTTACACTGGGGAAAGAAAATTACTAAGTGACTGGTCAGAAGCAACCTTCTCTCCCCTAACGCTGGTGGAATTGGTAGGAACAGGCAGCATTCAGGGGATACACCGTGCCCCAAAGGGAGCATTGGGGATGGTGGGAGCTGCGGTGGTGATCCACAGAGCACAGCCCAGGGGAGACACCACCCTGAAGCTACAGCCAAGGCCTTCTCTCATTACACCAAGTGAAATCATGCAGACACGTATAAATTGAACGGGAGAAAAATCTATTTCCCTGGCAGGCAACTAATGGGATGTTTAGTACTGAGGAACAACTGATTTAAGAGGGAAGGAAGAGCAATTCCCCTGGTTTCCATTTCCAGATCCATTACTGCGGCCCCAGGAAGAGACATCACAGGCTGCGGGGAAGAGACGATGCTCAGCAAGTGCTGTGAGCTGCTCCTTGACGAGCCCTTGAGCAGCAGCCCCGGCAGGAAGCAGAACTGAGCCCAGCGCAACCCGCAGCCTGTTCCTGTGCCCGCGTGAGCTGGGCTGGCACATGAGCTGCGGCCGCTTGGCTCCCATCTTGGCTCCACGCCTGTGGCTTGATGGGCGCTGGGGCTGCAGCAAGGTGTGGGGCCCAGGGAGGGGAGAAGCGATGGCAGAGGCTGCTCCTTGCAGCTTTTGCTGCATTCCAAGGCTGCATCACGAAGCCCAGAGCCTGGCTCGCAGTACCCAGCTTGCTGGCCGATTGCAACAAATCCTCCCAGGGAGGTCTGTCGCCTTCACTGCTGCCGCTGCCTCCTCCTCCCTGGAGGGAAACCGGTTCACTTGCTGCTGGGGATAAGCAAGGGACAAGTTTTAAGCAGTCCCTGGGAGCCAGCAGCTCTGAGCACAGTTCTTCCACAGCCCCCAGCTCTCCTGACTCACCCACCAGCTCCCCTGCTCAACAAGGCCATTTAAATTTCCAGAGCCAGACAATCCTCAGTCCCTTGCCCTGAGCAAGGCGAAGAGAAGCAGAGTCCCAGCACAGCTAAGGCAAAATGCGTCTCTTTGTTTCTGCAGAGCCACCCTGTTCACCTGTGAGCAGCACGAGCGAATCCCTCTCGGTGTCTCCAGGCTTTGTAGAGAAGACATCAAACACCTGCTTTTAAGTCTGAAGGGGCAACACAGGAACACACACATGACTGCACACAAAACCTTCGCCTTTCTTCCTCAAATACGCCCCATGCAGCACATGCTCGGTGTTTTCGGACTAGAGGGTTTACCCCAGCACAATCACAGGGAGCGTTATCGTGCAGGATCTGTTTGGCAGAGGAAGTATTACACAGGGCGGGAGGCTCCCACACCCCCACGTTTCACGGCTCTTGCCTTAACAGGTGACACATCCCACACCGTCTGCTACAGCTTTCTGTTCAGTCAGACAGGGGCTCTTGCCCTCTTTGATGTCCAACACTTTCTAGCCAACACAACACAACTCCTACCCAAGAGTACCAGTACCGCTGGGGTTAACAACTTTCAGCCTCACTACACGCAATTGCGCTTTCTCTCTTACAAGTTAAATAACCTGCGGCTATTTCCGATGCCTCAGCAAAGAAGTAAAATTTCAAGTGGGAGTACAGCAAAGCGCTGGGTCCATGGTGGTAGAACGGCACTTCTGCATCCCCGTGGAGGATGCTACGAGCCTTCAAGCTTGCAGAGAGGCATCTGCAGAGGCTGTGGCTCCTGGCACACATCACCACAGCAGGGCATTACAGTGTTAGATGACTCTCTGCAAGCCTTGTCCATGTGTACACGACAGCAAAAGTGCTCAGATAAAAGCCTACAAGGGGATATCCTAGAGACAGGCAGACAACTTTCATGGATGCTTCCTGGTGCATCTTGAAGCAATTTAAAGTGTTTAGCTTTAAATCCTGTCCAGGCTGAATGTGCTGCTCTCTGCCCAGCCATTTTCACAAGGAGGGAGGCGCATTTAGAAGGTGCTACAACACAAATGTTTTTGCTTCCTGCCATTAAAGCAGCGCTGTGAACAGTATTTGTCAATCCCTAAAGGTCTTTGCTCCACCACTGCAGAACAACAAGAGAAAAAAACCACATGCCACTAGCCTGTGGCTTGCAGGATCAAGTCTTTGGTCCTTTAAAAGAAGTGCAGAGCCAAAGCGTTTCTCCCCTTTACAACTGTGCCCTTTCCCTCTCCTCCAGGGAGGCGAAGGGAGCCGCAGCTCAGATCTCAGCCATCAGCTGCAGTGTCACATTCCGGGTCATCCAAAGATTGGCAGAGTCCAGGAGACGGGCAAGTCGGGACCACGTGTTTCTACCGTCAGGAAAGAGGCCTTTAAGCGCAAAGCCATCTCTATCCCATGAAAAGCAGCAGTAGGGTATTTTACTTTGCGGGTTCCCTCCAAGGAGAAGCCACTATGAAAGGACACTGTCCTATGCTAACAGGAACTGGAGCAGAGAAGCAGAAGAGACACTACATCCGCAGCAGAGCAGCCAGACTGGCTCAGAGAGCACAGATGCTGTTTGTTTTCAGCCCAATTACCTTGCTGCACATATTGTCTTTACTGCAGTTCTTGTTATCCTTGTCTGTTGCTTCCTCCTCCACCTTTACAAGGGAAAAAAATAAAAAGGGTATAAATAAAAAAGTAGAGCCGGGGGGGACAGGAGGAGACTGAACAGCTGGTGTTGGAGCAGCTGGGAGAGCATCGGGATGGGATCCAGGATGCTCCACAGATGTTGGACACGGGGAGCTACGGAGGAGGTAGGATTCGGAGAATAAGCCAGGCAACCCACTCAGGCAGCTTCTACTTCATGAACCAAGAGCCACAAAGACTTTGTTCCTAGGAGGTACAGAGATGTCACCCCCAGCTGAGACATGAACCCCAGAACCAAGTTCCTCGGCTCTGCACACGGTGCATGGGGAGTGTTCAGTGCTTTACAAAGCCAAACTGTGTAACCACATGCTATTGAGCCTTTCAACCTCCCTCCTACAAGGCTCGGGGCTGGGACAAAGTGGGTCTGGGCTCCAGGGGGACTCCTGACTGCTGCTCCGGCAGTTGTCCACCACGTAAGCGGGCTGATCTGGGACTCTGTGGACTCTGGAGCACAGCCCAGCACCAGGAAGTCTCCCTGCCCCTGCTGGCGTGCAGGTCTCTGGTCACTTGTGGGAGATTCAGCTTCTATCCCTCAAGCTAAGGCAAGCCAAGAATCCCATTTTCTTATTTCCTGGTAAACTATTCCAGATCTATATACTCCTCCATCCTGCTGTGAATATCCTCTGAAGAGCCCAGCTGCTGTGGTCCAGACCCTGCGCTCTCTGCATGTCTCCCACGTGCCTCCCACACCCAGCACGGTGCCAACCCCGGATCCCAGCCACACTGAGGATAAGCACCAACACCCCTGCCCCAAGCTGATGCCCAGCAGGTAGGAAACTTCCAGGTAAGGAAAGAGGGACGCATCATTCCCATTTAGGAGCCTCCAAGACCAGGCAGCTGCGGGGCAGATTTTCCTGGATCGCTATTTCAGACTTGCCGCGTTTAAGCCCTGTTTTAGGTACCCAAATCCATCAGCTGGCAGAGATAAGCCATCAGCGGAAAGGGGAGGGCTGATGCCAACAGCACTGATCAGATCAAGAGCAACAAGAGAGGATCCACCCTCCAACAATTGCTTATCTCTGACCCCACAAGGGAGAGCAACATCTGTGGGACAGCAGAGGCACGGGATGGTGATTCGGTAGCCACGCACAGGGAAAACCTGGGCCAGAGCACCCCAGGGCCAGCTGAGCAAGCTGATTGCACATGGCTTTTCTAGCCACTCTGCCTCTTCCCTGCAAGCAAAGCTGATGGTAGCAGTCCCTGGGATGACAGGCAACCCCAAGGAGGAGCAGCAGATGGACGCAAGGTGATAAAACGTCTCCCTCAAGTGGGAGGAGAGGACAGGGAAAGCGCAGCATCGGGGATGAAGAAGGCAGGGCAGGCTGGCTCATGTGCATCTCCCCACCCGTGGCTCAGAGCAAGGTCTAAGCGCAGCTTTGACAGGAGAAGGCTAAGCAGGCACCTCAGGCTGGGATTCAGGAAAAAAAAAAAAACCAAACTCCAAAACCTCTCTGCACTTCTCAGCAGCTTTTTGGTGAAGGCTCTCACAGCCCTTTCTGAATAATTCAGCAACCTGCATAATCTCTCCAGAGGACGGATATTTTGCCATCTGCATTCGACAGCAGATGCCGGGGAGCGACTGGCCACAGTCACACAGCCTGGGAACTGGTTAACCTGGTCAGCCACACCTGCATGAGGCTTTCCCAGCACCAGGAGCTCCTTGCTCCAGCTGCAACATGAAACACCTACAAAGCCCAGGCCTTTGAAAGCCAGCCAGTCTACCCCCATGCTCCCTAGAGACCCGGTATCACTGCTCTAAGCATCCAATTACTCCCCAGAGAAACTGCTGTTAGGGACCAGGCGGAAACGCTTGCCACTAAAAGCCTTCTGTAAAAGGTGAAGCCGTTCCCCTGCAATTACAGGTTCTTACCTCCTTCCTCCACTTGAGCTCGCAGAAAACCCGTTCGAAGCACTCATGCATGTAGTTGAACTGCAAAGAGAAAGCAGGCATCCCTCAGAGCAGCAAGCAGCCCCAGACAGCTGCCCTGGCTCCCAGCCAGAGGGAGTCTGGCACTGGTTGCCAGCCCAGAGCTCCCCGTACTGCGGGCTCCTCCTGGTGGCCACCGGCCCCTGCATCACCTCCCGCCCCAAAAGCTGGAGCACAGGCTGCTCCTCCAGCTTCTAGAAGGAAAACAAGCAGGTTCTGGGCTTTTCCTTAGCAAATCTGCAAAGAACGGGGCTACTTACATAGGGGGTGAAGATTTTAACCCATCGGGGTTTCTTCTCTCCTCGTGCGTATTCGAAACAAAATGCCATTCCCTCTTCGTCTGTGTCCCACCGCTGCATTTCATCCCATTCAAATGCTATTACCTGGTTCTGAAGGAAGACGAAACCCAGGTGAGGCCAGAGCCCAGCAGACCATGAGGAAGTGCAGGTTTAAGGCAGATCAGGTGGCAAAAGCAAAGCCACACGAAGGGGGAATGTGGATGCCTCGGACAGCCTTGCTGCAGAGACAGGTATGAGCCAGGGAAGCAGCAGTGGAAACACACACTAACACCCACAGAGCAAAATCCCTTTGGAGGCCTCTCAGCTGCAGTCCCGAACCCCCAGAGCTTTAGGGACATGACACTGATGCTCTCTGCCTATAGCAAAGTCGAGGTGGAGGCCAGGGGCTGAGCCCAGCTCCCCAGGACCTCACAGAAACCCCCTTACCTCCAGCTGGCCCTCCTCTGTGCAGGCATGGAGTTTAAAGTGCTTAATGCTGATGGCTGTAATCACATGTCCCTTCCGCCGAGAGTCACAGGAGCAATGGGGGAAGATGATCTCGTTGTAACCCTCACACGTCCGTAACATGTTTAAATACTGCAGAGAGAAAGCTGCAGGCGTTAGCTTGCTCAGACGAATGGAAGGGGACCCCTGCACCCTCCTGCTTCTCACACTGCCTCCACCTTGCACATGCCCTGGTACTAATCACCCCCTTGGAAATCCCTGGCTTTACCCCAGCCCAGGGAAGCTGGATCCCCTCCAAAGGAGACCAAAAACCCACAGGCAGCAGGGCTGTGCTAGGGGAAGGAAGGAGACCCCTCCAGCTGCTCTATTCCCCTCCCCAAATCATTAATCCATCCAGGCACAGATATACACAGAGCATCTCGTGGCTTCGAATGCCAAAAGCCCTTTCCAGGAGAGCTGGTGCAGCCACAGTCACTGATCAGAGTGACCGTGCTCCCCCTGGAAGGGTACAGAGCTGAGCAAACAGCTAAAGCAGCCCCGGGACTGAAAGCACCACTCTTCCTAGATCCATCCTCCTGATCGTTACCGGCTGAAGATGAGATCAGAAAAAGAGGCTGTCGGGCAGCTGTGGGATCCAGGTTTCTCAGAGTCCTTTGATGCAAATGCTCTTGAAACTCATGAAAAGGTCCAAAGAGGTATTTTGGCTATTTTTCTTTCTTTCTGAGTGCAGCCCAGACAAAGCAGCACTGTGAGGACACTGGAGAAGTGCTAGGAGCTCTGAGTCACAGCACAGGACATGGGAAAAGCCAGGAGCTTCTCCAGGGGCCGGTGCTCCAGAGCCTCACAACCTCTCGTTGCATGAGAAAGGTTTACACAGGGCAGAACTACAAAGTCTGAAGTGACTCTTTAACCAAGGAACAAGCCACATCCAGACCAGAGGAAGGAGCCAAATCCTCAAGCATTGTGCTCCAGGCAGGACCCTTAATAACATGGGGCAAGGTAGAGGATGAAGTACTTTGACTTCACAGGGTCTTTGGGACACAGACATTGTCTTCTTGACCTCCTGCTAGACCACAGCCCTACTGCACCTGGTGTACGTGTGTGTGTACATAGATATATATATGCTGGGATATACCCTTTCCAAATATTCAGATCTTTCTTGGGTCATTAGAAAGCCAGCAAGACAAGCAGAAACAAAAGAGCCATGAGATAACCCACAGGAGGAAGCGTCTATGTACTGATCCTTATCATTAGTTAATAATTAACCTTCTTGGCTTAGCATTTCAGATGACCCTTCTGGGGTCTACCCCAAGGTAGTCCCCCAGCAGGGACCCCTCAGAGCTACTGCAGTCAAAGGGGCTTTGAGGAGGGGCCTGACCAAGACCAGTCAAGCTGGAGAAGGGGATCCCAAGGCCGTTGTTCTTCGAGAGCAGCCAAGCTGGCTACAAGAACGCAGGGAGGGTGCAGCAAGTCAGGGAAAGGGCAGCCTGCGTTTATTCGGTACCAGCAGCCCTGAGCAACCTAGGAAGTTATTTACAAGTCAGATTCTTCTGTTGTTTGATCTTCAAGCCAAGCCTGCATCTGACAGATGAGCTCAGGGCATCCCCTTCACTCCCCCACATCCATGCCAGGCAGGCTCATCGAGTCATACCAAGCCCCCAAGCATTTGCTGGGCAAGGTGATAAAGGCAGAAAATCCCTGATCAGACAGCGAGCTCTGACACAGGATTTGCAATCTTGGAAGACTTGTGCCGGACAAAAAAAACCCCAAAAACTAAGGCACGGAGGGGGCAGCAACTCGCATTACGAGCACACCAGGACCCACCCCTCCTTTGGCTAGCCCAGCATCACCAACTCAGAGGCAGTGTTGAGGCAGAAAGAGACCTTTGCCTCTCAATTACTAGGAAGAAAGAGCCATCCCTGAAGGGCTGCAGATGAAGGATTGCTACATCACATGTTAAGCACCTCACCTTTCAACATTGGCAATAACCCACAAGGTTTTATCGCTGCCTTGTTTGGAGCCAAGTCAATAGCTGATCTTGCCAAGGACAAGCCGCTGTTCAAACGTGCCAGGCACGAGGGGAGGTTTTGGTTCATGCAGCAGCTGACCCTCGGGCACATCCCAGCCCTGCGCCTGGCATTCCTGCATGTCTACACACCCTGCCAACCCCTTCTGTGCTAAGCCGACGCCCCCACAGCTCTCTGTGGTTATTGCTTTCCAAGAAAGATGTGTTTTTCAAGGCTGTGTGCATAGAATGATGGTTTGGGTTGGAAAGGACCTTTGAAGATCATCTAGTCCAACCCCGCTGCCATGGGCAGGGACATCTTCCACTAGCCCAGGTTGCTCAAAGCCCTGTCCAACCTGACCTTGAACACTTACAGGGATGGCGCACCCACAACTTCTCTGGGCAACCTGTTCCAGTGTCTCCTTTCCAAACACAGCATTGCAAACAGGAAGGAAAACAAACAGGACAGGTAGGATAACTCACCATGACCATCTTTCTCTGCTCACACAGCTTCTGTAACTGGTAGGACTTCTCCTCTGCTTTGATGTAGCCTTTCTTGACATCATCAACAGCCTAAACAGGAAAAGGGAAAGGAAACCCAGAAGGTCAGACTAGTGGACTCTTCACTGAGTCACAATGCTTTGCTTTCCCTGGCTGGCCCTGAGGCTGCTTTGAACAGCCAACCCCAATTCACAGCCCCAGAAGGTGACCAATGTCCCCAAACAGGCAGAGGGATGGAGAGGCTCAAAGAGATGGTTCTCTGCACTCACTGGCTCCTGCCACGAGCCTCTGATTGCCTCGGGGAGCATACAGATGCTTAAGCATCTAGGCGGACTTTGGAAGAATGTCCCCTGGCAAAAGAGGATGGATCTGGAAATGCTGGTACCTGGAATCCTGCTTTTGCCTTCAGGCACAGGCAGGGACAGGCTGGTACAACTCTTCTTCTCCAGACACACAGGCACAGCCACCTCCAGCAGAGCTGTGCTGGCTTTTACCCACTGTGCTGCTGGAGTGTTGGCAGGAAAATGTGTTTTTCCTTCAGGACTGAGCAGGTACACAGCCCCTTCCTTTCACTCCTCAGCTGCACATCCCAGCAAGAACTCCTGCCCCTGGCACAAAGCGGCTTGTAAAGCTGCCAGCCAGTAAAGATCCAGTCTAGGAGATCAAAGAATTCGACAACTACTGTTTTTATTTCAATTTGTACCAGAGGCTGGTACAGGCTTAGTTCAGAGAGCACTGGGACAGCATTTTTGGTGGTTAAGACAGAGCAGGACTCATCTCACTGAACTTTGCAGATATCTACCTCTGAGCTGGTCATCCTAGACTGGCTTTATACAGGCAATGGGAGAACATGGCTCTTCTCGGACTCGCTTCATCCCAGAGAATCTGCATAAAGTGAAATCACAGGCAGGAACGTCCCCTTTCCTTACGGTGAACAGCGAGAAGTCTGTTCCCCGTCTTCACTGACAACACACAGAACTGAGGAAAACATATCTGACCCAAGGAGTGCAGCCTCCTGTGATCCTTTTAGCTTGCTCTGGGAAGGCAACTTCCTGCAATGACAGCAGCAGAGTCCTGCCTCCCAGGTCAATTGTGACTTGGCCACAAGTTCACCACAGCACCGCTGATTCACCCAACCATGGACTTCTACTCCTTGAAGTTACCCAAGCAGGACTGGCCCTCAATTTCATGCTCTGTTGCCAGTACGCCAAAGGACAGCAGTGTTTGGAGCAGTTCTGGGAGCCAGGCACTTGTGTTGCCTTACCTCCAGTAAAAAATTACAACTCTTGGGCACCTACCTGATGGAAGAAGTAGGTGACTGCCAGGTCGTTGTCATTGAGAAGAACCTCCTCCTCTGTAGTGAAGAGCCATTTTCGGATGGTCAGGCACGTTCCTGGCACTGCTGAGGTGTAGTTCTGCACGTAGAGTTTGTGGGGGAATTCATTGGGCGCCAGTTTGCGCACTGGAAAAAGCACAAGACATTGAGGTCAGCACACAGGCCCACACAGCATCAGCAGCATCATCTGTGACTGGAGCCTGGCTACTGCACAAATCAATGTTGGCGATGCCCTTTAGCTGAGTCAGCCAGGATCGGGACTCCAGCTCTGCTCCAGGGCCCTTTCTTCTCCTCCCTGACTGAATCCAGCTTTTTTCAATACCTACTTCCACACTGTCAGGACCACACCAGTCCCTTGCAATCGCCTCTAGTGCACAGGCAGGAATCTGTGTGAGACTGAACTCCTCTCGGTCATTGGAGAGCTCAGCGCAGCTCTCAAGCATCAGTTCAACAGCCTGACTTCATTCCCTGCTGTGCACAGGGAGGTCCATCCTCCCTAAGCCTTAGGACCTGTGCCCAGGACCTATGCACTGTGCCCACAGTGGAGAAGGTCCACCCCATCCTGGCAGGCTGCCACCAGAGCCTGGACAAAACCCGCTGCATTGCTCAGCCAAGCTGGAGCAGCTGGGCCACCAGCGAGTCCCTGTCGAGACATTTACTGTGTTCAAATATGCTTTACCCAGCTACGATGGACAAAAAAGGCGAGTGCCAGTATGTCTCCATCAGGTAAGGATATGGTCATTATCTTACTGCAGATGGAGCTTATGGTTTCCAGAGAAATTAAATGGAGTGTATCCAGACAGGAGTAAATGTGGATGTTCACAGTGAGTGTCCAAAAAGCACAAGCCATAAAGGTTAACCGAAGTTTTTACTTTCCAGTGCAGTTTGAGAAGTGCAGCACTCACACGAACAAGGAATTAATAGCTCCAGTTAGAGTCTGGCACCATAAAAGCTTCCTGCATGAGACTGCAAGTGTGCTGCAGCGTCCCATCTCCCAAGAGCAGGTATTCCCAATTGGGGCTCCCTGCACACAGCCCTGCTTCAGCAATGTGGAAACACGTCGACCCTCCAGCCCTGGTCTTCCCTCCCTCTGTCCGTGTCCTGCTCTGTCACACCAGCACCCGGTAACTCTCAAAAAGTGACCACGAACCCGATGGCAGAGGCAGTTCTGTGATGCCAACACTTTTACAGGAGGTTGGTGACCTTGGCTGCCCCAGGGTCAGCATCTGAATGCAAACCCAGCTTGTTCTGTGAGATGAGTCATTTTAGGAGGTCTCAGAAGCTAAAAATCACCCCTTCTGCTCAGCCAGAATCTTGTAAGCACAAGCAACAGCCCTAGAAATCTCTTCCTACAAGGCATTTTGCTGTAACAACAGGATGAGTTTGAGGCACATAGAGATGACAATTCAGAAATGAAGGTACCCAGCTGGGAATGAGAAATACACTTGGCTTAAAACCCAGCAGAGGGGAAAAATAATACACAAACCAACCACTACACCCATTTTGTGGTGTGACCGCAATATTTTGCCCTCTCTACAGTTTCAGTGAACCCAACATGAAGCTGGACGAAATCAGAGATTGCTGTGGCCAGGGATCTGAACAGCAGCCAGGGGACCCCAGCACACGCTAAGCTGGAAGGATGGCAAGTACTTAAGTGCCAAAATGATCGCCCAGAATCCCACAGTCAAGCCTCAAATACCATCAGGATTTAACCACAGAAGGAGAGAAGAGAAGCTAAGATGCAGCTTGCAGCACCCCCCTTCTCCAGGACCTGGATATTGCCCCACACCTATGTGTGTACAGACTGAGGGTGCCCTCAATCCACCTTCCAGCACCTTCGCTCTGTCCCAAGCCACTGCCCCCCCCTTTCCAGAGACTGCCATGTTACAATGACACTGCCCATTTTTTCTAAGCTTGCTGAACCCTTTGAACTAAAGTAAAATGCATCTCTCAGTTTAACAAAAAGCTCGTCTCCTTGAACTGCTTAAGAAAGGGAAAGTTAAGCGGCGACAAAAAAGCCATCAAACTTTGAGGGCTCCTCATTATCAGAGCCTACTGTGCCTGCCTGATTCCTCCCAGGGGCTCCTGATATTGCGAGTAGAGATAAGACCTAAATGAGAGTGCCACTGGGCTCTGCTAGTGCTGCAGAGCTTTCTCCCAGTTGCTCGTCAGCACCGAGGGGATTAAAAGACTTACCAAAGGAGTGATTGATCACTTCAAACAAGGCGAAGTAGTTTGCGGTAATACTGTCCATTCCAACTTTCACAGCCACGGCCTAAAGAGCAACCAAATGGGAAAATGGGGTGAGCCGAACAGGAGCCAGTAGCTGTCTGTCCCCCTCCAGGGCAAGGCTGGCTACATACAGGTTATTCCCAAGTATTCCCTAACCCGAGGTGTTAGTCACCACAGAAAACCTGAATTTTACTCTTCCAGTAAAACCAGGTGCTTTCTTACGCAAGGGCTTAGACTCTCCTGCTTTCACCTTCCTGTAAACTGCTCTAGATTTTAAGTGCCACCATGGCTGACAATTAGGTCATCTTTTCTTCTGATGCCTCCAGCTTCAGTTCCTAATAGAAGAGGTGTGCACACTTCCCCTAGGAGTTTTCTCCAACAACGTTTCCATCCTGCACGCTAACACCACAGCCAAAACTCACAGACCTCAGCGCAGGTGACATGAAATTCAAGAGGCTGCGTCCCAAACACACCCTGCACTGCAAATCCCATCTACCCAAAGGATTCTGCTGTGCAGATCTGGAGCTCCTGAGAGCCTGCTCTTTCACAACCCTCTGGGGCTCCCTTGCTTGCAGCAACATTTCTAGTTCCCCTTTCAAAAAGGGTCTCCCTTGCATCATCTTATTCCCCCTAATCCATTGACAGCTTCCACTTTTCCTCCTGCAGTGCTGGTTGATGTCAGTTCTCCTTAGTTTTCTACTTAAAGCACTGGGCCTCTGGCCACTTGCAAACCTGTAATCTGGCCAGAGAATCCCCCAAAAGGGTCACTACTCTTAATATTCAACTTGCTGTCCTGCCACACAGCCACAGTGAGACTCGTGTGTTGGCTGCTGGCAGCTCTTGGATCCAACTCCTCCACCGCAGCCACTGCAAGCCATAATACACAATCTGTCTAGTGCTTAGAGCCATCCGCCAGCTTTAAGATATTATCAGTGAAAATTAATTCAGTGATGACTGTCCTTGCAGCCAAACCTGCCAGCGAAAACGCTGCTTCAGCACAGCATAAGGTTAAGAGTTCTCTAGCATCCCTATCCTCTCTGCTACAGCAAAGCAGCATCACTGATGCCCACCTGTACTCAAGAGGAGCAGAGAGAAGCAAGTGGGTGCCAGTAGGGTCTTGGTTAACATCCAAATTGTGTTAATCTTCTGGTCAAGGCAAAAAAAGAAGTAGCTCACCTGGTACACCTGGTCTGTAGTGCTGTTCTTTTTGACTCTTACTGTCACTGTTGTTATATCTGGTAACGCTACTCGGAGCTCCACGTCTGAGACGCCGTTGTAATTCTGAAGGAGGGAAGAAGAGGGGACAGAAATCCGCATCACACAAACTGAGCCCCAAGCTCTATTGTGCTGGCTGATTAAAATGGTCACTTCTAACAACCAGCTGCTATGCAAGCCTCAGGAATCCCATTCCAGTCTGCACCACAGAAATTCTGAAAGAAGGCTCTGCTCTGAGACAGGAAGCTGAGCAAACAGTTTCAGGCCACAACAGGGTAGGATTTTACATTCACAGGTTTGCCAGTGAAGAGCAAGAGAAAGCTCCGGGACACAGCAACTTCATGCACCATGGAAAGGTTGGAAAATGAACAGTAGTTGAAGGGCAAATATCAACTCACTGCTGCTGCCTGCAACTCAAATCTTGGGAGAAGCAACTCAGACTGGTATTCAGAGTGCCTGTTGCCTTTCTGGCCAAAGGCCGACGAATACAAACAGCTGGGCTGTTTGCAAAGCCACCTGGGCTGCCACCAGCACGGAAACCAGCAGGAAAGTCAGTGAATATGTTTTTTTTGCTGGGTCTCCCCTTGCCAGAGAGCCAGGGTATGCAATGAGGCCTCATGGCTGGTTCTGCTCTGTGCACACCTTCAAGAGCAGCATCAAAGCTGCTCTTAGCTGCTGCTATGGAGAAAATGTTTCCTATGTGCAGTGACAGAGAGCAAAATGCGGCCTTGATTTTCTGCCGTGGTTTTCTATTCAACCAACTGAAGCTTTGGCAGGGAACATCTTTGCTCTCTAATCCAGTTTTACCAAGCATTTATGGCCTCTGTACAGGGAAGATCGTGGCAGAGCTTCAGCGCCGTCACCTCCTTGCCTACCTCATCTGACTCCGACAGGAACTCCTGCATGATGTCGCTCTCCCCAATGACACGTATCGAACACACTGCAGGACAGAGAGCGCAGGTTAGTGGGGTGCCCGGGGGAAGAGGGAGCTCTCTCCTCCCAGAACCAGCCCAAAGATGACACGGAAATAACAACTGTCTGTTCTGTTGGCGGCATGAAACAAGGGTGGTATCTCCAGCCCCGAAAAACCTTATCAAAGCAAGTGCTTTCCAGGCTGTATCAGGTGTCCTGGCACGAATACTGATCCAGCCTGAATCCCCTACAATAGCAAGTGAACAGTGGTGTTGAATAACTCACTGAGATATTCCCCGTGGGTGAAATCCAGGCCCCAGGCACATGGCCAACAGGAGGTCTAGACTATACTTAAAAGTGGGCAAGAATTTCATAAATAGTACTTTTGCCTCAAAAAAACCCACCTTATTTTGGAGGGACTGAAACTATTTGGGAATTTAGGCCAAGTTCAGCAAATAATTTGGACCCGAACTGTATCATGTTCCCTCTAAGATGCAACCAGTCTGCCCATTCCTCCAGCCAGCCGGTAACCAAGGATGAAGATGAACGAGCTCAGCAAGGCAGGGCTGAGATATCAGCGGGATGGGGAAAACCTGACCCATGTCCATCTTATGGGAAGAGGGGGCTTCACTCCCAGATGCTGGCAAGGGAAAAGGCTGTTAAGCTCACACAAACTAACTGAGCTGCTTCCAGGCAACTAAGATAACACAGCATCACAGGATGAGGGGTCATTGCTCCCTGAATCTCATCTACAGCCTCTTCACTGCAAAATGCAGGGTCAGATCTTTTAGCCAGGCACCCTGATACAGAGATAAGGTTTTGCACCCACTTCCCCACCATCTGAACTCAACCTAAAGGAAACTCCTGCTGCAGGTATTACAATTCTGATTAAAAAGGACCAAAGCGTTCAGCTGTGAACAAGCTCAGGTTGAGCTGAGCTCCCCGATGAGAACAGCCTCAAACACAACGTTCTCCCTGCTCCAAAGCTTCCTTCCTCTGCCTCCTGCCCGTGCTCCCTCATCTCCAAGATTACTGGCGAGCAATATGACACTATAAAAAAAGGCTTGTTGTGTATTAAAACCTAATTACACATTGTGTTGCTGGAAGTATACTGCAAGCCAGTAACACATGCATCATTAAGCTGTGGCAAGTCTGAGCTCCCTCTCACCACCTTGGCCATAAAATCCCATCCAGCTACAAACAAGCTTCTTTCCCTCACAGGTAAACAAATGCCTGTGAAGTTTTGGACCACCCGTGGAAGGATGTACCCTGAAGATTTGTTTCCCTGCTTGCGAGGAAGGCGGCGTACAGCTCCCAGCTCAGTACCTTTCTCCAGGTATTCCTCCAGCCCTCGCCGCCGGGCATCCAGCTGCTGCTCTGACAAAGAGAATGGCCACTTCCCTGGGAGACGTGGAAAAGTGAAGTTGGCAAATTCCCGTTTCAGGTTCTGGTGCAGGATGGCAAACTCCCGGTACCGCTTTGAGCAGAGCTGGCGGCCCGCCATGTAAACATTGTAGACCTGCAGGGAGGAGAAGAGGCCCACTGGAGTGAGAAAAGCTTTCCAAATCCAAACCGGCACAGCTCTGCCTTCCCAGACCCACAGGTAGCACAAGGCTAAATTAGGAGGGTTTGAGCTAGAATGAGAAACTGGTATGAATAGTTAAATACACCACTGCTTATCCCTGGAGCTGGGGGATGTCCCAACTACTGCCTCATTCTGACAGCAGCTGGATCGGCATGAATTCAAGGCGCCTTTCTATTTCAAAAGGAGAGGAAAAACACCCAACCCTTTACAAAAGGCCCCAAGCCTGATGCAGCCATTACGGCATTCACCTGGATCATGTCCTGCACACAGAAGGGTCCCTGAGATGCACCAAGCCACCACCAGATGGATGTCACAGCAATACTGTGCTGACTGCATCAGCTGTTTTCAGCAACAGGAGCCTCATCACCTTCCAGATGTGCTTGACACTACCACTGAATTTCCAACTTGTTGCAGAATTGAGCCTCTCATTGCAGCAAAAACTCCAGAGCTCTGGACTCAGGTTCACGGCTACTTCCCTGAAACCCAAAGAGGTCCCAAAGCGAGCAGGAGGCTCGGTTTGTGTTTGGACACAGCCCCTGGCAGCCGTCAGGCATCAACCATGGGGCAAATCCCAGGGGAGAGGCAGCATGAAATCTTTTAGGAACGCTCCATGTTAACTAGTTTTTTCATTATGCTTGCACTCTTCCAGTTTCATTCTGGACACTGTTAAGGAAGTAAGACTCTGATCCCAAATAGGGGAAACCCAGAGCAGAGTTACAGTCGCAGGACATTTCTAAGCACTGCGATGCTCTTCAGGGAATTCCCTTCCCATTCATTAACCAGTTGCCTCCATTTTTAAAGCCAATCTGCTCAGTCTTGCAGGCAAGTTAAACAAGCTCTTATCTAGGCATTGCTAATACGCCCTCAGTGATAAGGAGGTCCCAAACTGCAGCAGTTACCTTAATTAGCTTCACACGAGTAAAGGGATGCAGTGGTGAAAAGAGTAGGTTCACACTTTTCCATGTTGCACTAGGGAAGTGTTTGCAATGACAACCTTTCCTCTTGAGGAGAGGAGCATCACCCTCCACTGTCCTCCCAAAGCTAAAGGGCTGGCAGAGCACAGAGGTGGAGTGTAGCAAGAGGCACATGCCAAAGATGCACCGAGGGTGCCTTCAGCAGTGTTCAGAAGACTCAAAACCCCAGTCTGCTCCCCAGATGACGGCTGGGAGCAGTCCCAGCTCACTCACTCTCCACATCTGTGCTCCAGATACCTGCCTGACAACCTTCACAAGGGAAAAGTGCTCCAACAAACCCACGGGTTTTTCCTTAAAAAGACGCATGCATTCAACCCTTCCAGTGTCACCTCAAGAGAAGGTGCTGGGATGGAGCTGGATCCAAACAGCAGCAGCTGTTGTCAGTCCAGAGAAGAGGCTCCCTTTGACCCCCTGCCCTGCACTGCACTTCTTTAAGAACCTCTGGTTTCTAGGACCCTTCTTCTCCTGCCCCATATGGCACACCTTATCTGACAGCATCCCACCAGGGCTGGGAGAGCAGGGTGCGGGGAAAGCATGCGCTCCCTGTGAAGCTGTGGGTCTGGAAGGATCCCATCTGTCCCCTTCAGACACACGTGCCAGGGTGACACGTTGAAGCGACATGCTTTGCACAGGAGCCTGACTCTTCTGGTGAGCCGAGCACTCCTGAACCCTTTCCACCCTTCCTCTCACACACACATGCTATTTCTGTAACACTGATGATGGCTTGTGTCTTCATTGGGAAAATGCCTCAGTCCTCAGCTGGGAGAGGAAAAAGTGATAAGCCAGTTTGTCATCTGTCTCCTGGCACTTCACACGATGATGCAATCATGTCCCAAGGGCAACTGCTCCAACCAAACCTACCTCCCAGTCTGGGAGGGTGAAGGGACCCAGCATACGGCACAAATCTTCCAGCCATGAGTCAAAGCAGCGGCAGAACTAAAAAGCCCCGATACTCGCCATCTCGTCCCAAGGCCCTCCACCTCATCGTCCACCCCCACTGATGGCCACACAGTTCCCTGGCTCTGGAAAAATGAAGACAGCACACAGAGCAGAAGAAAAAACATGGTCTGGACATGGGTAGGACTGTGCTCCTAACAATAAGCAGCTATTTGCATGGGGAAGAATACTGCCCTTGTGGCAGGCTTCTGTCTCTACCAGTCGCTGATTGAAACTCGGAGCCAGCCGGGGTTGGGCTGCAGGCTCTGCTGACCCTCACCGCAGCTCAGACCCGAAGCATGCTCAGAGCAGCGGCCAGCAGCGAGACACAGGGTGCTGGAGGACAGGGCAGTCAAGATAGTTTGCAAGCAGAGCACCTGTGAACACTACACAGCCAGGCAAGGAAGCAGAAGAGCCAAGCAAGGCCAAGCCAATTAAGGAGGTTAAATACACCCCAAATGTTGCAAAAAGAAACAGTTCTGCAGATGAGCGTCTTTGTCCAACCTGTTTTGGGTCCCTCTCCAAACATTTCCTTACCAGCCACAGACAGCCATCCCTGATGAGCCAGAATCAACCTTAAGCCTTGGAGGATGCACCCATATCAGGTACTTAAATGACAGATCACATCAACTAGGAAAATGACTGCCAGCCTCCCCAATAAATGCAACAGAAGAAGCAGGGAACCCAAAGGAAAAAGACTTTTTACAGCTATTTCCCCCACCACTCCCTAAAGGGAAAAGAAATTCTGGAGATGGGAAGCTACGCTTCAAGACATCTGTTCTCTTTGCTTTTACATCTATCACAGATGTCCTTAACACTTGGTGTAAAACAGGAGATACAAATATGAAAGCTTGTATGAACAAAACAATAGCTTCATACTTAATCTTTGTAAGAGATCAAGCTATTCCAGATACATTAATAAAAAAAGCTCCTTAACACATCGGAGATAGCTGCAAAAGAATAACCAAGCACAGTAAGAGTGAAGACAGACAAGCCTAAATAAGACAGTGTCAAAAACAGTCAGTAATAAATTAACATGCCTCCATCCTGAAGACAAGAAGAGAGTGTTGCCACTAACAGCAAGGAGCATGCCAGCTCAGGGCGCAGATACCCAGAGATATCCAGAAAACACTGTCCAAGCTGATACTTACCACAAACTTCTCGCCATTCTGCTCCACATGCTTGTACGTGGGGATGGAGATGGGCACAGCTTGTTTTTCTGTGTAGTCATAGAATGACTGCCCCAAAGAGTCATCACTGGGATCAAGGTTATCTGCCTCATGGGGAGGCACTGACAACACTGTCAGAATTAACTCCTTCTCTCCTGCACGAATCAGGTCCACCACTTGCTTGTGTGTTGCTCCTTCAACATTCACTCCATTCCTGTGAAAGAGAAAGCAGAAAAGCCATAAGCAAGGCAGAGGTGACCACAGAGCCTTCAAACCACGCCAGGACCAGCCCGGAGATCCATCACATATCTGCTTCCCCTGAAAATCCCTCCAGCCTCAACTGCTCTGGTTGCTCCAGTTTCAATCAGGTCTGAACTTCACTCATTTTTCCTATTGATGATTTCTCAGGTTATTAGTTACTGAATTATGTTTAATGACTACAGACACAGCTAAAACTTCTTTAGAAGGTTCATGTACCCCCTTGAACATTTAAAACAAGTTTTGTGGTTTTCACCATTTCTCAATGATATGACATGGCATGTTCATACCCAGAAAGCAAGCCTTTTCCCATCAGCTAAAAGCAATTACAAGGAGACCACAGAACTGGGGAAGAAAACACTGAATGCATAATACATACTAGTCTGCTAGGGCAAAGCCCATCTCCTGATCCTCTACAGCTCCAAAACGTAAGTGGATTTCCCTAAATCTGAATTGAAGCTTCCATCTGAACAAGAATAAGAAAGCAGGCAAGGAGGCTCAGAGAGCAAAGGTAAGCAATTTCAGAAGCTGGTGTTCCCATCTGCCAAGACACAGCACCCATGAGCACACCTGCTTCAGTGTGACATAAACGAGATGTGTGTTCATTTCAGTTACTTCCAGGCAAACTGCAAACAGCCCAGGAGCACTGCTGCAGCAAGTTAACACGTTTCTGCTTCCTAAGCTGCTCCAACCTGATCACAAGAGCTCGTCCCAATTATGCCCAAAGCCCTCCAGGAGCCCCATGGAAGCTCTGAAGACCCAAGACATAGCCAAGCCACCTCTAGAGCATTCCTGCCATTCATGCTCTCCCTGCAAGCTCAGTTAACCATCACCTGGCTCTTGCTTTGCCCAGAAGATACAGACCAGACCTCAGCCAGCTTGGAAAAATGCTGGACCTATGACTTGATTTCAAAGCAAAGAGTGCTATTAGGTTCTCTTCCAAATCTGGGAAAGGACAAGTCTGTTTTTCCTCCTGATAAAAGCTAAATTTAGTAGCGAGTCTCCATAAACTCGCAGTCATTGCAAGCGTCTCTGTGAAGAGTTTGGTATCCAAAACATTCCCTGTATAAACAGGAACAGGCAGAACTTCACCCACCGCATCCCTACCAGTAAGCCTGGCTGCGCTCCTGCAAGGCTGCTGGAGAGCCCATGGACCATCGGAGACGACAGGTGCCCTTCACCTCTGCTTCCAGAGCAGCTTCTTGGGACGAGTCTGGAACAAACCAGCCAAGGAGTTTCGTGCCACTGCTGAAACACCGGCAACCATGCCTCAACCCCAATTTGTCTTCACTCACACCTAGGAATCTCTCCACCAGAAAACCCAACGTCACCCTTATTCTGCACTGCTGGCTATGGCCATTACCTGATGCTTTGGAGGAGTGCAAGAGGAAGGCCACCTGCACTTTCCCAGCCACGAGTCCTGACCATGCAGGGAGAGAAAATTACTCCTCCTGGCAAGTCAGCTACTCCTTCCCAGAGCCTGGGAACAGACTGTCATCATCTCGCCACCAAAGACGTAGTACTGGTCACAGAATCATCCCAACTTGCCTTAAATCAAGCATGGGATTTAGCTTTCAATCCCCAGCTCTCAAATGAAAGAGAACAGCTCTTACCGCTTCACATCAATCATTTTTTATTGAACTTTTACTTAGAAAAGTCACCCTGAAAAGATCTGATCTTGACTTGCAAGTCTGGGTGAGAGATCCCACACTCTGAATCAAGTTTAAAAAAGCCCCAAGCGGTGCTTGTGAGCCAGAGGCAGTACTTGTGCTTTGCCAGGAGTTGGACAAAAAAGCTTTCCCCAGCTTGGACACTACCCACGGTTATCAGCCCTCTTAGAGCTCCCATATCGTTTCAGGGAAGGGATAACCCTCGGATGCAGCCCCTGGGCTCTGTGCGATAAGAGTGATCGAAGAGCTGTATGCAGCTTTTACAGCAACGAGGCTGTTAAGTTCAGGAAGAGGGAGAATCCCCTCCTCACCAGCCAGCTCTTTCACAGGGCAGGAACATGGCCTCCCAAGCAGCAAATTTCGTCACAGAGGGCAGCCCTCATTACTGAGTCGAGCCATTAGCCACCAACATCGTCACACTAAAGTGACATTGGCGTTTGTTCCACCTGACCGATGCTCACGTGCTGCTCACTTATCCCAGATCCCTTCCACTCGCCTAGAATAAACCCAATCTGCAAAGTCCTGCAGCACCGCTGCCCAAGTATGATTTTTGGTGAATGGGGGTGAAAAGCCAGAGACTCCAGTCATGTGGAGAAGGCTGCTGTTTGCCTGCACCAGGAAGGACAGCAGGCCAAAAGGACTCTCCTCCATGCATCCCAGTCCCATCCTGAAGAGAGAAGGACGAAGGCAGGGGAGTATAGTCACCATCCCACACTCGACCTCGAGCCCATCTCCAGCCAGTAACAGGCAGAGCTGCCTCCAGCTGGCAGCAGGGGCTTTTGGATGACCCAGACTGCAGGATGCCCCGCTTAGTCTGCAAAAGTCAAGGCTGGTTTCTAGTTACTCAGCCCCAGCTAGGCTGGAACTAGGTCCTCGGCTTAACTTCCCGTCAGCAAAGACCTCAGACACCGTGCTTTCCCCTCTGCCAGCAGACCGAGAACAAGCACACTGCCGGCTTCCTCCTTTTCCTCTCCTTAGCCCCTGGTGACTTCTGCTGCCACCCATTTCCTTCCCAAGTCAACACCAAACCCTCGGAGGTGGCGAGGACAGGACCTGGGACTCCCGACAATAAGACTGCAATACACCATTTCATTCACAAACACCCGGTAACACCCACTGCCAGCTCTCCATCGCTCCCAGCAGGTCTTTCTAAGATCAGATGCTGCTTTAATAGCAGCCCTGCTCACCCCTTTGCTCTGCGGCGCAGTAGGAAGGAGCAGTCAGTACTGCAGGCGCAGGGGGCCGAAGGACTCGTACCTTTGCAATAAAGTCACCATAGCAACTCAGGCTGGAATCATCATTGATGAACCAACAGAGAAAAGGAATGGTAAATCATACGACATAGGCAAATCAGAGCAGCTGGCAAGGTGAGAGAAGCACAGCTGAACAACATGCTGTTTACACAGCCACAGACCTGTGGGTTCTGAGAGCTGAATGCACTTTTCCAGAGACAACGGGACACTCGGGTATTTTGCTCCTCAAGCTTCTGCCTCCATATGGAGTCAGAAAAAAAGATCCAGGCATTACCTTTACCCTTCCAGGGGACGTGCATGGTCCCAGAAGAGGGCTGCTGAGCTGACCACAGGGCTGGGTCCCTCCATACCTTACAGAAAGGACGTCCAGATACAAGAGTGGTGGATGACAACCAGATCCAATGAATCCTTCCCTCCACGAAGGAGGTACCGCAGATGGCAAACAGCTCTCTTCTGTGTGGGACGGGAAATAGAGCAGAACTCTGCTCATGGCAAACTGCTGCAGGATAGAGACCGCAGCCAGGCACATGCAACCCCCAGCCAGGTCTGCCAGACTTCAGCAGCGCTCGAAGAGCAACTTCCTCCAACAAATCACTTCTCTCGGCTGTCTGCCACCAAACATGGATGTGGTTAAACCAGGAGCACGAGGTTCTGTCATGTTCCACTGCAGCACAGTGGGTGAGTCTTCTTCCCTCAGTGCCCAGCTTCCTCTTCACCTCACTGGGGATGTGAGCTGCCTCGCAGGAAGGTTACTGCGGGAAAGCTCTTTACTGAGTAGGTAGAAGCGATGCTGGAGCTGTTCAGTGCGCTGTTGGACTGGGCAATGTGGAGCCTTCTCATGCTGTCCCCCTGGCAGGGGCATCCCCACCTAAACAGGGCTGCAAGGGGCTCCCAAATGCTCTTGCCATCCCCCCAGTGAGCTGGGAAGAAGCCGTTTTCCTCCTGGTGCTGGGTAGGGTCGGTCTAGCTCAATACTCACCATGACTAAGGGCTCACGTTCGCTGAGCTGAGGACAACATAACCCCAAAGCACTCGTTACCACGTCTCTGACGGTAATCATCTCACCGCAGCAGAATGAACACACGCCTGCACCACAGTCCACAGTCCAGCATGATGCCCAAGACACCTGCCAAGACAGGCCTGGGCTGAGACTCCGGACTGTGACCCGAGGCAGCCACATGCTTTGCTGCCCACTGACACCACTGCGAGGGCAGAAACCCTGGCACACGCAGGGCAAGATCAGGTGCTGCCAGCCTTGGCACTTGCCCATCAAGGGCTTGCCTGGTGCTATGGGGGAAGCCAACCTCTGGGAATTACAGCAGGTTACGCTTAACAAAAGATCTTTAGGCTGTGGTTCGGCAAGCTCCTGCTACAAAAAAATACATGCTGGGGGGCAGAGCAGACTGGTGTTTGTTCACCGTAACGAATTCAAAAGCTTCTCTGAGACTGAGTTTTCAAAGTACTAGGCCAAAGACAGTGAGCAGTGGCTGCAGGCTTGCACGGTCCCCTGGCTGGAGAGGATGAGCTGCTGAAGCACCCCACTCGCTGACCCAAACTTGAAGTCTCTGCCAGCACAGTGTGGAAAATGTCTCACTCAGCAGCTATGTTTGAGCCCAGGAACACCTACTGGCAAGTGTTCTCGGCAAGAACAGGAACTTCTGGCAAACACCAGGAGATCCTGAGGACAAAGCATGCATTTGACAAAGCAAAATTCCCCATCATGCCGATGCTAATGAGCAAGATCCCCAAGACACAGAGAAGAACATTTCACTTCTCCCATTTGTACACTGAATGACTCACGTTCTGCAAAGACTTCTTAAAATTTCCCAACTATCTGTCTGTCAAGAGATGACAAGGAAATTTACTGCAAGAAAGTCTGCAATAAGCTTCCTGGAGATTCAGACCACAGCCTGTCTTTGTGCTTCATTCAGGCAAAGTACTGACCCAGCTGACATACCATCCAAGGAAAAACACGTCAGAAACAACTCAAGTCATCTTTAAGGCTTTGCTTTTTAGCAGATGAGCACCTTCAGCCATCCCATGCTATCTGCAGGGCCACCATGGCAAAGCACAGGTCAGAGCTCTCCCACCACGGTGTGACAGAACCAGGCTGTCAAGAGCCTGGCCATGTAGATGTGGCCTTGGAAGTAAGGCTGGCAGCAGCTATTCACACCACAACTTCACATGTCACTTGTCTCTTAGTGGGGATGGGCTGCCAAGTCCCCATCTCCCCCACCCAGTGCTTTGCATCTTCCAGCTCCTGACACTTGGCTCAAAGCCCATCTGGCTCCAGCTCTGTCCAGGGCTGTACATTAAGCCCATAAAATTCCGTATGTCACCAAGAAGCTCCCTGCACTCCTGCCTCTTCTGTAACACAATGGTTCTCACGAATATTCAGCTGCAGGAGAGATTTTAAGTGCAGTGCTGAGACAACAGATTACTCTCTGCTCTGAGAAGGGCTGATGAAGGAAGAAGAGTGCTGAAGATGAGATCCAGCAACAAGGGCAGTCACCACAGGGATCAGCAGCCTCCTTGGGAGAGGCTCTGAAAATAAAGATGAACAGCTAATGAGCTTACTGGACACAGTAGTGTGGGACAGCTTCTCCAGGCTTGCCTTAGCAGCTGCAGAAATGGGCGCTTCATCATCTTCATCCCTCTCCCTTCTCAAATCCAGCTAATGCCAAACACCAAAGCAGCTCCACACGACACTACCACCAATGCCTTATGGGGTGCATTTGCAAAGGGGCAGCCACTGCGACGGTGCTGGCTCCCTTCCACTGCTCCTCAGGAGAGCGACATATTCGCCAGACCGATCCACAGCAGCTTTAACAGACCCAGCAACTTGCAGCTTATCCCAGAGGAGTGTTAAGTTTCTCAGTTGCACGATACACCCGAGACCATTCAAGCTAAATGGTTTCCCCAACAGGCCGTGTGTTTCCCCCACTCCAGCCCTGAACTGCTCAGTCCGCAAAGCCAGACAGCTGTCAGCACAAGCCTTCCTAAAACTGAACCATGCCAGGGCTGTTCAGCTGAGGCTGAAGCAGTATTTCCCCATTTCTAATCACCCAAAAGAAGGGAAGCCAGCCTTCCTCTTCTACAGCTAAGAAATCCAGACTCTGTCCAATATTATTCCACACAGATAAAAAGAACCCACGAAGACACTAACAAGTGCAATTCCAGTGACCTTTCCTATTTCTCTTACATGGGAGAGACTAGAAGAAGGTTGGGATAATTACCATTTTCACAGAAGTCTCTTACAACATTTTAAGGAAGTTTTAACGTCCCTGTGCATATTGACATGCTTTGCTCTTGCAAACAGTGCAACTGCCATCCACTCACTCCAATCATGAAAGCAATGATTCCTTGCAAATTAGTAGTTCTGAAACACCCTGAAAGAAGACAAAGAATGTTAACATTTCAGAAGGTTAAAAACTAACTACTACTGAAAAGCAAACAAGCACTGACTCAATAGGTGGAAAGCTCTTAGTCTTGCTAAAAAAGGAACAACATTTTGGACGCTTCAGAAACCAAGTCTGTATCAAATCCACCCTGGAAACTCAGGAGCAGTTAACAGCAATCAGCTTCTACACCAGCAATACGAGACACAATCTAGGTCAAGGCCTCCTTGGGTTTTCCTTCCCTGAACCATCAGCAAAACCACCCTGAGAAGACCAGAGATGGACAGGGCTGCTAGACCACAAGCCCCGGTGCTAGCACAGAGCTGGACTTTTAAGCATAATCTTTCTGACCAACATCAAAGCAATGATTCTTATCTGTTCTTTTTGTAGACCCAGATTCTCCTCCAGCTCTGTTCAAGCTGCTGACCACCAAGTTCAAGCCTGTGACAGTGGCTTTGGTTTCCCAGCAGCGTCCTTTCGCAGAGCTCCGAGCGACATCAGTGAGCCCCTGAGGACTCTGCAGACCACACGCTGAAAACCACTGTCATGAGACGCTCCTCCAGAGATGTCAGTGAAGAGCCCGGCAGGGTCTCGCGCTCCAGCTCTTTGAAACAGCATCCCAGTCCAACAGCAGCCTGGAGTATGGGTGTTCACGAGGCCTCTCAATGTTTCAGTCTGCAGCTCACATTTTGCAAGCACAGGTTTGAATCCCAGTAAAAGGAAACTCTCCCCCTGCCTTACCATTTTGTCCGTCGCTGCTTCCTCAGTGCTCAGACTGGTGAGCAAGGAAGGGTAACTATAGGCACAAAAAAGCCACCGCAAGACGCCAGGCACCAACGTCCAGCACATCCCCAGCAGCTCTTCCCCATCAGGAGAGGGGCGGACGCTTCCACCGAGCCCACGGAGTCTGACCCATTTGCTTTGTTATCTCAAGATGAACAAAGCAGGAGCAGAGAGCACAGGTGGCAGAAACAGGTTTAAATTTCTCCAGCTTCAGTCATCGTGCCCACTCCTAGGCACCTATAGAGTTCTGTTTAAGTATACTGCAAAGTGTTAAACCAGGGTAGATAAAAAGGCTCTCGCGTATATCTAATTGTACACTGAACGGAAAACCCAGCACACGAGGGTTCTTCATTTGCCCACTGCTGTTATCTCTCAAGAAAGAAAAGACACGTTTGCGGTTTTTCACTCCAACAGCCAACGCCAGCCTTATTGAACACACCAAGCACAGGCTGAAAGGCGCAATCAGGAGACCCGAATTATTCCCAATTCTAATCTACAGCCTTAACCAGGCAAATCCACTCCGCCTCCTGTGCTTCAGCGGCCCTGTTTGTAAGAGGGGGAGAGATGCTGACCCACAGTAAAATGCTTGGAAAACACGTGCAGGAAAGCAAGGGATGGAACCTGGAAAGGTTGGGGTGAATTCAGGAACACTACCGGGAAGATGGTGTGTTTAGAGGTGGGTGAAGGAAAGACATCTATCAGCTGGTGATTAGAGGGTTTTTAGGTTTGCCAGGCTGCAAGCCAAACTCAACATGTTTCACGAGTTCCTATTGCTGCAACCACAGCAGAACAACAACCCACCTCTGAAGCAGCCAGGGGGCCGTGCATCCCCATGTCTTCCACCTTCTCACCATCCAGGTATGTAAGATAAAGCTTCCAACACTGATTCAATCCACTTCCTAAACTGTCTGAGGTTAAGGAAAGAGACACCCTTAAAAGCTTTGGCCAAGGTAAGGCCTGCTGACCACTTCGTAAGGTGATTTTCTGGCAGCGCACCCTTTGTGCAAGCAACAAAATTCTGTGAATAAGCAGAGCGCACAGCTGCTGCCTCCCTTTTACAGACTGTTCTGGAATTTTCCAAAGCAGAACCAGCTTTTTCTGTCCCAAGTCAATATACAAAATTAGACTTTAGACCAAGAAGAGATAAAGAGTTTAATCTCCTGAGGGAAACACCTTTACCCCGCAAACCGGAGTCGCTCCCCATGAGGGTTAGGAAGAAGCCCTCTCCATCGGGGGTTATTCCATCAAGGCCTGTATCGAGGTGTATGACACTTTCCCTCAAAGCAGAAGGTACTGTGACCATTTCAGACATTTCTGACACAGGAATGAGTGATGGAGACCAATTCTCTGGTCTGGTGGAGTACAGTACCCCCCTACCCTCGCAATCATGCCTAGATCAGACCAGGTTTCTGCTGCACACAGTTCAACGATATTGAGAACAGATCCCTTCTTTATCTGTTCAATTATTTTTGAGCGAGCTTCCCTGCTAGCAGAGCAAACGCTAGTGAGATTTTCTTCCCTGTCAAGATTAGTTATGATTGTCATTCAGGGTGATAATCAAGAACTAAATTAGCTTTCATTGTCTGTCTCCAATGCCCTCAACACCCACAAACACAAAACCAGCTAAGAAGATTAGAGAGCATGCCATAGCTACATTGCAAAACCAGCCTTTGAAAGCAAGAGGTCTGAGCTAGATGCTAGATACAGGAACGTCAGGCAGTGAAGGATGGCAATAAAAGACTTTGTAGCAAGGACAGGACTCTAAATAAACCCTTCA